GCCGCTGAGCCATTCCAAACACCGGAAGCCGTGCCCCCGCCCTGGAGCGACCATTGTAGCATGTACTGTACCATACCAGAGCACTGAGCTGCTCTCCCATGTCAATTCAGGAGCCAGCACTTTTTCCCTTGCCCGCGAAGCCTGAGGGGGGAGTTCTGACTTCGGCTGGTTGTGGGCTGGTGTGCCTTTGGTTGAGTCGGGGAGCTTTTCCGCTAACCCGGGCAGTACCTTCTTTCAAGCTTCTGGTCATTAGCTTCTAGTCATTGGTGCAACCAAAACCGAGGCAAAGCTCCACGTTTGCCATTAACCGGGGACATTTCACTTCGCATGCATGCACTTGGGTTTGTTGTTCAATGTTCCCGATTGGATGCCATGGCTACTTCCAGGCCTTGTGGAGCAATTTTGTTTTTACTAATCCCCTCCGTAACATACGGGGGCGCACTCGCGCGCGGGCTTGGGGGTCTCCCTCTAGTCCGTTACCCTGGCGGAAAAAAAGAGAGAGATATTAAAAAACGCATCTACTCTGCCTCAGGCCTCTCCCTTGGGATCTTAATTGCTAAAGAGGGTTGGGTGCCAGTATCAAGCTCACCAGAACTTTTGGAACCTCGCCCAGCTTGTCCGAGTTGTGAGAGCGTAATTGTTGTTCAACGTCTCCCATAAGGCCCGACAACAGGGCTGAGCCATTCGGCTCGGGGGGCGTAACTCGTCCCCTTCGCCCCGGAGAACAGAACGGAACAGAGGAAGAGGAAGAGGAGGGAGGGAGAGAGAGAGAGTGAGTGAGAGAGCGAGGGAGAGCATGCGCCAGCAATCTGTCGCTTCTCACGCGGCCAAGGCAAGGATGCTTGACAAATGGCTCGAAATTGACGATCCGGCGAACTGCTGAAACTTTTCGACATTGCAACCGTGTCACAGGTCTGTTGCAGCGTTGCACGTGGAGTGTGTGGCTAGTCCCCTGGAGTTTGCTGTGGTTTTGCTTGATGTTGCAATGTTGCCTTGACCACAATTTCTCCGGCTTTGCACGCAGTTTCTGCGAATGTTCTTCAGAACTTAGCAGGGTGGAGCTCCATCTTTGCAAAGTTGTGGCGAGATCCATATTTAGCAACCTGCCCGAGATCCACCCTTACCAAACGTTCGTGAGCCTGAAAAGCCCGTGCTCTCCGTGATGGAACCACAATCAATATGTGTAAGAGACTGGCGGCGGCTGATCGGATTAGCAGGGCTCGAGGTATTACCAACTCCTAGTACTTTGATGTGGAAGCAAATAGGTAGAGTACAGGCCTTGTGCATCAGCCGCGCCGGACGATCTCCCAATTCTAGGACGAGTGTTGCTTTCGATGCGGGAGCCAAAGACCTGTTGCGTTTGAAGGCTGCCAACCTTGAGCAAACTCAGACTTGCATTCATTCAGCATGTTGGGTGGCTGCAGAGATGCTGCGCAAGACGCTGCCTGCCCTACATGCTACAGTGCTAAACTCAAGTTACGATTCGTGTGCTTGATGCTCAGGGCCATGTCTGCCATCTGCCATAGCTAGATTGTAGATAGTGCAGACTCAGACGATCTCCGACAAAACCACCCCCGTCAACCTTTCAGACCAAGACCCGAGAAGCCCAGAGAATTTTAGTATTTCGACTGTCTTACACACCAGGGAGAGCTCAATGCGGTGGTCCATGCTGCATACCTTTGATATGTCTTGATTTGCAGCAGTCTGGACTTGTGTGGCTGTTGCTTCATGTTTCTGCAACGTGCTTGGCTGGAGAAGGATGTGAGACATTTGGGGGGGTGAGATCCCCCCCCCCCCCTGCCGCCCTCCCTGTCGTCCGGGCGAAGACCGCCCTCGCCATCGACGCCATGGAGCGTGGTGAGCGTGGTAAGGGTCGAGGTGCTCGTGGAAGCGGGAGGGGCGGCTCAAAGAGCTCCGGCGACGGGAGCTGGACATGGGGCGCCGTCAGTGCCCTCTCCCGAGGAGGGAACTGGCGCACTCGAGGCCGAGGCCGAGGTCGAGGCGGCCCCTCGATTGCAGCGAGATGCTGTGAAAGCAGGTTTGCGGAGTTATGGTGCGCCTTGAGGCTCTACCTCTGCCCACTGGGGCCATGACACCAGGCACGTCCTGAAATCAGATTCTGCGCCTTTGCAGCAAAGGCATCGAGAAAACCAGAGTCTCTGAGTCTCGAGTTAATCAGTTCAGATGGAGTAGTAGACAGGCACGCACACTGCAGGTGGTAGTAGTGGTAGCAACAACAGTAGGAGGAATAGTAGTAGTAGTAGTAGTAGTAGTAGGAGTAGTCGCAGTAGTCGCAGTCGTCGCAGTCGTCGCAGTCGTCGCAGTCGTCGCAGTCGTCGTAGTCGTCGTAGTCGTCGTAGTCGTCGTAGTAGTAGTCGTAGTAGTAGTAGTAGTAGTAGTACTACTACTACTACTACTACTACTACTAGGTAGTAGTACTAGCAGTACTAGTAGTACTTGTACTTGTACCTGTACCTGTGCTTGTGCTTGTGCTTGTACTTAGTAGTAGTAGTAGTAGTAGTAGTAGTCGTAGTCGTAGTCGTCGTCGTAGTCGTAGCAGCAGCAGCAGCAGCAGCAGGAGGAGGAGGAGGAGTAGTAGTAGTAGTAGCAGTAGAAGTAGTAGTAGTCGTCGTCGTCGTCGTAGTAGTTGTTGTTGTTGTGGTGGTCGTTGTAACTGTAGCAGTAGAAGAGGAGGAGTACGTAGTAGTTGGAGGAAGAAGTAGGAGTAGGAGTTGGAACAGGAGCAGCAGAAGCAGCAGCAGCAGCAGCCGCGATCGTGCCAGTGGTGGTCCCGGGCAGTGTTGGCAAAAGCCGGCTTTGTCGTCGGTAGCAGTTCACCACCACCCCCTCTTCACGAGCATCTTCGTCCCACCAGGTGCATCACAACCGCCGCCAGGAGCATCAGCATCACTCCAGTACTGCAAACCTATCATCACCCAACTTCAAGTGCACCATCATCAACACCATCGCCCCTGTCAGGCTTGCATCAGTTTCTTTTCTTACGATCTGACCTGGTGTGGCGGTCATCACCACTATCACCAACAACAACATGAGCAATGAGCCGTAGCAGAATCATCACTGGCATCATCGGCATAAACGCCACAAGCATCATCATCATCATCATCACTGTCATCATCATCACGAGCATCTTTGCCACCATGGGTATGATGGCCCAGATATCTCCATCTTATTCATCACTATAACCACCATAATCACCATCATCATCATCATCATGCATGGCTGTTTCCATGAGCGTCATGCTGACTCAATCGCACTTGTCTGTGTGTCCCATGTGCTCGCGGAGTGGCACCAGCTAGCTGTCGTCATGCTCGTCGTCATCACCACGGTGGTCAGAATCATAATTAACTTTATCACCAGGGCCAGCATCGCCACAGTCATCACGACCATTGCTACCTCCACGAACGTCAACACCGTCATGACCGCAGCCATCGTCATTGCCAACACCATCGCCATCTTCGTCACACCGATTATCTCCTGACAATTCCCTAAAAAATATCTTCTATAAACTATAATATGACCCGAAATAAAACCCCCTTTCACTATTTGGGCTCCGATATAGATCCGCTAAAATACAGTTTGGAGCCTCCAGAGAATTGGCTTCAGCCAGGCGTTCCAGGACGCCGCGCTCAGCCTGCCCAAGGAATTGCGGATAAAGGCGCGCAAGAGAGAAATCAGTCCTACTTTAAATAAGCTTTGGGGCATGTTGTAGTATGTAGGTAAATAAATCAATATATATATATATATCTGTGTGTGTGTATATGTATGTATATATATATATATGTGTGTGTGTGTTTCTTTCCTTCAAAGCTAATACCTTGAATCGACTGTACGTCAACTTCAAAACACGGCGTTGGAGCAGCAACAGGAGGCCTACACTCTACAGACGCTTTAGAATTGTCTTTGCAAACTTCAGTTATAGATGAGATTATCTTGTGCCGGGGTTTCTTCATACGATATTCTTCCAAGCGTCTGTTTCCGCAGAAACTTTTTTGAGTGGTGTATCCAAGTCTGCCGGGGCTTCCCAACTCGCTTCTTGCCACAGTCAATTCTAGTGGCACCGCTGGGCATAAACGACACCTGTCTTAATGGATCTGAATTTGTACAACGAAGTATATGACCTAATAGCTTAGCGCGTCTCAGGTTATGGAACTCACTAAATAATGGTATCTGTCGTCGGCCGTCCCGGCTTGGAAATGCGATCATACTTGCTTCTTCCAGAAGCTTTGCGTTGGCATTTGTACGATCTGTATAAATGGGAGCTTGTTTAAAATCTTGCGAATGCCCCTCATTTGGAACGCACATAGCTTCTTTTGCCATTGCAGTGGTTACGCGGATAGCTTCTAGCCAACATACAAAGTAAAAGTTTGCTACGGGTTATCACATCATACACTATTAACGTCCATCTCTTGCTGGCTTGGGTTGCTTTCCAATAAGGGTTATATTTTAAATTATATATATAGATAGATGTAGATATATACATACTTTTACTCTTTACCTCCTACTATATACATATAGATATAAGGGTTTGGGGCATATTATTGCCGAATTTAGAGAGCTTCAGGAGATATTATTGCTAGTTACTCAGCTTCACAACTCGGATGATGCAAGTGAAGGTCAATCACTGTTCAATCGCTGATCCCTCGATCATGCCCCCCTTTCACCTCTAAGCCTCTAAGCTATGGGTCCGAACAGGTGCGCTTTGCGCGGAGATCGACGGGTTGGAGTGCGCGATGTTCGGGCACGATTCCTGTGGCTGCATGCGGTGCCCCGTGAGAAGAGACGAGAAAGGGTTGAGCAAGATTGGCGCGATCCATCTGCTGAGGCACCACACACATAAAGTGAAACAGCGACTCACATGGTTGGCATTCGCCACATGCCTGGACGCGACTCTAACAGTACCAAATAAACAAAGGGCAGGCTGGCAAAGTCCACCAGCCCATGTCGGCATCATGCCTAAATAAATCTCACCTAAAATCGAGCTACTGTGCGTTTAGCACGTCGGCCACCCCCGGATTCAACTTGCCACACTGCTGCTGCAAAGCTCGCACCACTGAAGGACCAGTCAAACCACCCACGCCATGAATCACTGATCCTAGCAGGGATGCCATGGCAAAAGTCACATCGTCAGCTCGCAGCTCAGAAATGCACTGCCAGAAGTCGTCGGCTTCAAATTCATCTCCTTCGTCTAGCACTGTCTTCACCGAGTCCAGCAACATGTACATAGCCTTAGGGACATCTGCTGTCGCCAGCTCTGTCCGGATCTGTTCAAGAAGGGAGCGGTACCACTGATGCTGTTGTCCATCACTGGGTTCGACGTCAGACGCCAAGGATTTCCTCGTAGGAGCTTCGAGGGATACGATCCTTGACTCCGCTTGACTTTCCAGAGTCTCCTGCAAATTCTTGCGTGCCTCGTCCCGCTTTTCCTGGTATTCCTTCAGTTGTTGCCGCAGGATAAGCGAATTCTTCTGCCGATCTGGCTCACGCAGCTGAGCGAGGGCCTTCTGATGAATCGCATGATTTCTTGAGCGAGCAGCCACCAGCTTCACCGGCTCACTTATCCGCTGATCGTCATCGGCATCTGCTCGACGCTTCTCCTGCAACGTGGCATCCTGCGCTGGGCTTGTGGGTGCGGATGGGCCGGGCATGCCATTCGCATCCACGTCCACTTTGATCGTGGCAGCTGTAGCAGGCAGGCCCTTCGGCTCGTCGTTGGCTCCCCGTGGCGCTTCTCCGGAGTCTTTGAGGTGGCATTCCAAATCTTTCACGTGGCGTTCAATGGCGGCCTGCATGTAATCGTTCCCGTGGCAGCGCTGGCGCATCTCCTCGGCATCTTTCGGTGCAACAAATGGTTGACACCTTTGATAAAATGCTTTCTCCTTCCATGCACCAGCAAGATCTTTTTCCCAAAGTTTTCGGTGCTCCTTTAAGCGGTCTTTGAAATCTTTCGAGCCAGCTTTTCCCTCGTCAAGCAGAAATAGGCTGCCATAGTTTGGTCGTGTGCCTTTTGGCAAGGGAAGAAGCTCTGCGGCGATCTTGTGGGTCGTTCCCACGTCGGCAAGTTCGGCCCGCTCTGATGCCTGGAGCCCAGCACCATTCGCCAAGTATTCGGACAGGGATGGCAACCACGTCGCCCGCTTTGGAGAGGCCTTGGGTAGCTGTCTTCTCTCCCGAGCTGACTGGGGAGCTTCCAAGGACGTCAGGAACACACCTCCACTTCCAGTATCCGGTGAAGCTTTTGCCCAGTGTCTCGAGGTGGCCAGTGCCAACTTCGCGTTGTCGCTCCGTGCCGCGTAGGCAGCATCTGCGTCAATCCTCACGAGCTCGACCCTTCGAGATGAGCTTTTGATGTGCACTTTCAGCTCCTTGAAGCCATCTTTCTCTTGCCGTTCCTGGGCTTGTCCACAACGGGGCAGGTCTTTCCCATAGAGTGCATGGGGAAGGCGGGAAAGGCTTTGCATTCCTGTGGAGTCGGCCTCCAAACCTTCTGCGGCAGCCTCTTCATCCTTGAAATCTCGCGAATCCGACAGACTCCGAGCTTCCACTTTCTGTTCCTTGCGGCCTTTGCGCTCCTTGTCTTTCTTTTCCTGATGCGAGCTGGTATCCTGCCCAACAGATTGCTGGATCTTCTCCATGTTGGCGAAGGATGAGTTCTGCATCTCGACGACTCTTTCTGATGTCACCGGCGCGCCCAAGGGCTTGTAGCCCACATTGTGCTTGCAAGCAAAGCCTGACGATCGTCCCCGAGCCCGCGATGATGCTGCAGAGTTCTTGCGATCCAACTGCCCAGCAGACTGGGCAACTGTCTCCGACCGATGCAATGTGAAGCCAACGCCACCTCGTTCGGTAACCATTCCAGATGTCGCCGACAGCATCATCGTGACATGGCAGCCAGGCAGAGGGCACTCAATGGGTAGACTGTCGAAGCACGCGCCGTGCTACGGCCTGCGGCTACCCCCTCCGCCTGTGTGACTCAGTGTGACTACTTAAAAGCAGCTTGAGCCATAGACATTTGGAGTCAAGTGCCTCGAGGGCATGTTCAGCAAATTGCCTTCTTGGTGTGCGGACTGTGACACCTTGAATCACCTTGAGCATCCCTCGGCCTGCTGCACGGCTGCTGTGAGGGTTCCTATCCTGCCGGACGGGATGGTGTGGCTTTCTCTGGCAAGTTTCAGCTGTTAGGACAAGGAGGACTTGTTGTGCCATGCTTCAGGTGCCATGACTGCCATGACTCGGAAGCGCGGTCCTTCTTTCGTACTGCATCAAGGCCCGCTGAACCGCAGCGGCACCATGAGGCACTTCCTCCCGTGCCCCGGCCAAGTGACTCTTGGCCGTCTGATTTGCCAAAGCCACGATGCCTGTGTGCTGCATGTCGGAAGGCAGGCCTGTGGCTGTAGATGCCGTGTCCTGCAGAGGTGCTTTGCCGACTCCGGACTCCTGGAAGGCAAGCTCCAAGCTGCCATTCTCCACCGCTTCCAGCAAGCTCGTGGCCATGCGGCTGCGGATATCCTGTGCCGAGCTAGACAAAAACTGACATGACTCGCCTTGCAATGCAAGTCCCTTGCTGTTGGGAGGGCACTTCGACAAAGCGGTCCTCCATATGTTGGTCGCTTGACTTTTGCATGGTTCGGGCCAGTGCTTCTTCAAGAGTTCCGTCATCGGCTGCAAGGAGCAAGCCATCAGCGATCTTCTTGCGAACTCGCCCCAGCTCCACTTCCTCGCCCCTTTGGGCCAGCACAACTTCGAGTCTTCCGCTTTCGGCAGCAGCCAACAAAGTTGCTCCTGCCTTCTGCCGCACCACCTCGATGTCTTGCTTCTTTCTCTCTACTGTCAGAGCTTTTCCGAGCCGCCCGTCCTCTGCAGCTGCAAGGATACTCTCGGCCGTTGCCTTCCGAACCCGCTCCAGGTCCTGCTTTCTCTGCTCGCCACTCAATGTGCGCTCCAGTCGCCCATCCTCTGCAGCTGCAAGAATGCTCTCGGCCGCGGCCTTTCGCACCCTCTCGAGGTCTTGCTTTCTCTGCTCGGAACTCAATGTACGCTCCAGTCGTCCGTCCTCCGCGGCTGCAAGAATGCTCTCGGCAGTGGCCTTCCGCACGCGCTCCAGATCTTGCTTCTTCTGCTCAGAATTGCTTAATGTGCGCTCCAGTCGCCCGTCTTCTGCAGCTGCAAGAATGCTCTCGGCAGTGGCCTTCCGCAAGCGCTCCAGATTTTGCTTCCTCTGCTCAGAATTGCTTAACGTGCGCTCCAGCCGGCCGTCTTCTGCAGCTGCAAGAATGCTCGCGGCCGTGGCCTTCCGCACCCGCTCCAGATCTTGCTTCCTCTGCTCCTCAGCAAGAGCATGCTCCAGCCGGCCGTCTTCAGCCGCAGCAAGCATGCTTTCTGCCATCTTCTTGCGAATCATCTCCGTCTTGTCGGCCTCTGGGCGAGTGAGGATCTGCTCAAGCCGGCCATCTTCCGCTGCAAGCATCAGGTCGTTCGCTAGCCTCTGACGAAGATTCTCAAAGGCAGCCTCCTTGTCCTCAACAGTAACCGCAGTAACCAGTCTCAGTCACCGCATGGACTGCACAGCCAACACACTACAGAGTTTAACCAGACTCCAAACCACACTCGAAGCGAGAGCTGGCCTGAGAGCTTTGATCTGCATCGGTGCCGTAAGTCGCCTGCTAACCCCAGCGCGGAACAACACTTGAATCGAAGTCCCATCACATCCACACTCCACTCCGTGGGTCCGCAGTGCAAGGAACACAACGGACATGGCGGACATGCTCTCTTGCCTCCGACAGCACGCGCTCCAATGTACCATCCTTGCAGCCAACAAGTCTCTGGGTTTTTATTCTTAATGGCTTCAGCCTCAGGACGGAAGGCACTCGGTCAGTCTCTTTCCCCTTGGACGCTTTGGGGTGCCTATGCAGCGGCGCTATACGACTTCGACGGGCAGAAGACCATCTTCGCAGGTTGCTGCAGCGACATAAGGCGACGTGAGGCCCGGAAACATATATGTGTGCCCGCCTTAGTGCCCGTGGTTCCCATGGACTTCTTACGGAAAAGGGTCCTCCAGCGCACCCCCCAGCGCTGTTCGCAGAAGCGCCTTGCGCTGTTCCATTTCCTGTGCAAACGCCAAGCAACTGCTATGACCGCAAATGCCACCAATACGTAGAAGCTTCGGCAACGCCCGGGCATGCACACCATGTGCACGGGGGATGTACAGGCACACAGGTCTGTAAGCTGAACCAAAGGGAGGTAAGAAGACACTCCATCATCACCATCGTCATCGTCTGAGTCACTGTAAATGTTCCGCCCCTCGAAAGATTCAAAGTACCAACAGCATGACATAATAACAGCAAGAGCATAAACGGGCTGTGACATCATCGCCATTACAATTAGCAAAGCCATCAACACCGATCTTCATGTAGGCCATGCGTCATGCATGAGTCACGCCATTCAGGGGGAAACATGCTCGTCAGCAAAATTGCCAGTCGCAAACCTGATTGAACCATAACACAATCACCACCAGCAGCGGTACCACCGCCAGCACCAGCAACACCGCACCATTATCAACACTGCCACAACACCAAACGCAGGCTGCCAGTAGCAACATAAGGTAGGGTAAGTAGAGACAACCACGACGGCGACAACCACTGCAACGGCATCAACAACGACCATCAAAACAACTGAGAACCGTCACAAGTTCGAGTGAATCAGTTGGAACAATCAGTACGAGTAACAAACGACGAAGAAAATGAGACGGATGCGTTCAACAAGCGAGAACGTGAGGCTACTATCCTTACTATCAGTGCTGCTGCTGCCGATGGTGTGCTGCTGCTACTGTTGCTGCTGCTGCCGCCACAGGAGTCGTCGTCGTCGTCGTCGTCGTCTCTGGGTCATCGGCATATTTTTACAGCAGTCTTGTACTGATGAAGGTTGTCGTCATGTTTTTCGGGGCAGAGCCTTTTTGAAAGTTATCTCTCCTTCTCTCCGAAGCGACTTCTGGTTAAGTACTGCTGAGCAGCTGAATTCAAAACTTGATTTGTAATGCTACGGTGCCACGGAGTGCACTGGAGTGCCTGGTGCTTATGAGTTTGGTTGCTATTGCTTCTACTACGCAAGAGCAAGTGCTTTATTACATCCCGGCCTCTTCTGTCGGCAAAGCTTTCGCCTGGGCCTTGGCCTTGGCTTTGGCCTTCGCCTTGGCCTCGGCCCGCTGCGCACGACCGCGCTGGATGGCCTGTCGACTTGACACTTTCGGACTTTCGCCTGCCTGTCGTTCCCACGACGATAGCCGATATCTGCTACGGGACTACGAGAATTGTCAGGACGGCTGCTAGGTCTTAGGTGCTTGGAACATTGGTCCTGGTTAGAAACCTCTGCGGCGTGGGCAGGCACAGTCGGAGTGTACCACAGAGTCCAGTTCCCTCCCGGGCCCTCCCGTGCGGCTTGTCCATGAACACGCTCTGAAACCGGAACTCCCTTCAATCCTTGTTGCTGTTGTTTCACTTCCAAGCCCATCGAGAAGGCTCTCGGCAAAAGGGAAACATTACCAGTGAGAATCGCAGAAACCGTCTAGACCTAAGACCTGCAGCAGATGATGGAACATTCCACTCCGCACCCCTCTACTGCCGGGTAGATGGTCATGAAAGATCATATGGCCCACTTTACATGCAAGGCACTTTTTGTTCAGGTTTCCTGGAAGCAGCCGGGCTCTCCGAGAGGCTTGACCTCATCCTCCGACGGCGACTCTGGCGAGGCGACGGGGAGCGTCCGAAGGCGTTGAAAGGAGCAAAGTCACGGGAAGCGGACAAAGCGCCGCCACCGCTTTCTTGCTGCAGCCTTCCGCGCTCACGCTGCTCATCACGTTCCCGCCAAGCCTCGCGCTCCCTCTGAGCGTTGTGCTCGCGCCAAGCCTGGCGATCTTGCTGCATGCGGATGCGCTGAGCCTCACGGTCACGCTTGGCTTGCTCATGCGCTGCTTTCTCTTGTGCCTCCCGCTCGGCCTCAGAAAGTTGCTTGCTGGTGCGGCGCTGGCGCGGACGGCGAGCGCAGACGCGGGGTGGCGGCAGAATCTGGAGCGAGTCGTCCCAATCCTCACAACGTTCTTCGCCGCCGTAAGGAGGAGAGTTGGGCTGGATGATCACCCCAGTGATCGCAACAGCATCACTCTTGAGAACAAGCGTGTTGCCAGCTTTCCCTAGCTTCGCTAGCACTTTCGACTCATCGTAGAGGACTTCGATGATGACCCGATGGAACATCCCATCCTTGAACAGGTCATGTGGTCTCGCATACCAGATCGACGGGGCCAGGCATGATGCTAAGTAGAGTCCCGGACGCGTAAATTTGTGGCCTTTCTCCTTGTCCCAAGACTCCAGCAACACGCCATAATGCAAGATGCTACGCAGCGCATAAAACCAGGTCCCATGATATGCCTGCTTCCACCCCTCGCCCGGCTGTATCTGCGCATTCTCCAGTGAGCAAGAACGCTTATACCTGTAGTAGAGGAACGGAAAGGCCGGATTGCCCTGAGATGCTGGAGGATCTCGACTTGCATCACGATCCAAAAACTCTGCCAGGGCGTTGTTCGCCAGCCAGTTTCGAAAATTCAGCTCGAAGACCTTCAGCCCTATGTTTTCAGGGACAGTGCGCGGAACAGCCTTCTTCTTCGTACCAGTGTTGCCTTGCTTCCAAAGTGAAACGATGGCTGACCGACCCTTCTCTGCCTGCTGAATCACATACTCAAGGCCTTCCTCGACTTCGGAGTTTGAGGAGCCGTGCTTGCTTGGAGCCTTTCGGGATGGCTCCCGTGTCCGTTTCCTTTTCTTCCGTTTCGGCTTCGGCGGGTCGGGCGCCCTGTCGATAGGCCGCTGCAGGCACACATCGAAAACAAAGACCCAGGGAGCGTCCGCGGGTACCTCCTTCAATCGAGTGGTGTCGATACCAGGAGGCATCGCATGGGAGGCAAGCTGCCGCGAGGGCATTCGAAGCCTTATAATATTATTAGTATTATTATTATTCCTATTATTATTATATATAATTATATAATATTGTGATTTTCTGTTGCTCTGGGTGTCCATGCAATGGCTGGAACGGTCCGCTGCACGGGCTCGATGTTTTGCAGCCTGTGAGTTAATTGCTAATGTCTGGAAGCATGCGGATCTTCGCTTGAGTTCTCAACTGCAGCAAGCACATCTCTGTTGCTAGTGTAGATCTCTGTTGCTAAGGTGATGAAGCAGGGAACTAACAGAATCTACAACCCTTCACATTCACTGCAATGAAAGGGCTGCAAGGCTGTTAAGGTTCAGGATCCTCGTCGCCCCCAGGCACGCACGTGACGCCTGGCCTGGATTCTCGCGGCCGCCTCTTCCTGTTGCTTTGCTCGCTCCTCCTCCTCGCAAAAAAAGGAAACGTGGCTGGAGAAGCAAGAGCCAACAACATGGAGCACGAAGCAGCTAAGCTTGCTTCAAGGTTGACATACCCTCACTGTCCCTGCATCCTCCAAGTTGCGCAGCGGTTGTGGTAGTGGCAGAAGGTTGCATCCGACCGATGGAAGGTGCTGGAAGGGAATCGCAGTGTCCTTTCGCAGAGCACGGCACATGACGTCCCAAAGTGCTGCCTCCCCGAAACGCGTCAATCTCATGCGCAGAGCCTCCCGAAGCCTAAACCCTAAAACCCCTTTTTTTGCAGGCTTGCCGAGTTCACGGCTGGAAGCATCATAAACCCTAAAGTTCGTTCCTAAAGCCTGAAGCAAAGGACCGCTCCGACGGGCCTGGGTCCCTTTGACTTCAGCCGCCATCGGAGCGGCCTCTGGCAGTAGCAACTGAGGGGGAGGCCTGGCCTGTGGTTGTCACCATGATGAGAGGGAACCGACGATGATGGTGGGTGCTGGCGGTGGTGATGTAGATGATGGTGGTGACGGAGATGATGACGGCAGCAAAACTGTATCCTGCTAGTACTACCACTACTACTGCTAGCGCTACTGCCCAAGTTTTCTCAATACGCTCGCTGGACCCTCAATCCGCCCCTGAGCCCACTTCCTGAAGGAATCTTGATCACAATGCCATCAGCCTTATCCCGCAACGGGCCTTCAGGAATGGCGCTGCAGCTTCCAAGCATCCCGATATGGAGGAGGCCATAAGCGCTCTGCCAACCCGAACCTGGCGAAGGGAGTCGGAGAGCTCGGGTCAGGTTCCGGGGGCTGGCCGTGGTTTTTCCAGGCCCCTCTCGGTCAGTTTGAGGCGTTGGACTGTCAGCCGAGGCCCGAAAGACTTGGAGGGTTCAAGGCAATTCTTGAGGCCGATCGGTTGGCTGTGAGGCCTGCTGGATGCTTGGAGAGCGGCTTTCAAGGCGTAACGCTCGCCGAGCACTGCGAGGTTGACATGAAAGAAACTCGTGTTAGATGCCCTGGGGCCTGAGATAGCTCTAAATGCGGGATAGTAAAATTAAAACCTACGGGCCTGACAGAGGCCATCACGCACAGCAGCACTCTTTTGTGTGTGCGTTGCAGCCTTCACGCTACGACCGTGACCATGCACACATATCGTACATATATGTACATACATACATACATACATACATACATACATACATACGTACATACATACATACATACATATATACATATATACATACATATACATACATACGTACGTACATACGTACATACGTCCATACATACATACATACATACGTACGTACGTACGTACGTACATACGTACATACACACATACATACATACACACATACACACATACATACATACATACATTCATTCATTCTTTCTTTCTTTCATTCATTCATTCATCATATACAAGCATACATATACATACATACGATTACATACGTACGTACATACGTACATACGTACACACGCACATGCATGCACGCACATACATACATGCATACATTCCATACATTCAGTAGACACATAACACATAGAGTTTGCTCATCAGGCTTCAAGGAAATCTTGCTTCAAGGAAATCTTGCAGAAAGTAACCTAAGCCCAAAATCCGAACCCTGCCGCCCCAAGCTACCCTCAACCCGCCACCCTAATAATGCCACAACACAAGTCCGAGCTAGAAACCCCTGCTTGGGGAGACCCGGGCCTTCACTTCATCGAGGCTGGCATCTGACACGTAGCCCTGGAGCATCTCCTTGGCTGGCTGGGCTCTGGCAGCTCACTCACGCTCAAGCCAGGTGAGGTGCTGAGCGCGTCGTTGGATGGCGTGAAGCACTCTTGAAGGAGGGGTCAGGGATATTTGCCCGTCGCAAGGATGAGGGTTTAGGGTTCATTTTAGCGGCACCCACATCTAAGAACAGGATGCACGAAGGGTTGCACGCGTCACTCACCCGATGTGAAGATGTCTCGCAGAAATTATTCTGCACTCTCACTCCCCATGCCCTCTCTCCCAAAGGCATTTCAATTGCGCACCTTCATTCGGAGCGGTTGGAAAGTGGCCACATGTGGTCACAGCATTGATGTCTACATACATCTACATCGTCTACATCTAAAGAATTCAGGATTATGTCTGCTGCAAGTGTTGTTGATGTCTGGCACTGGTGCTCTGTCTCACATCTTCCACACAGCCAAAGAACGACGCAAACACACACACACACACACTCTCTCTCTCTCTCTCTCTCTCTCCCCAGGGCATGGGGACCGGTCAAAGTCCCCGGGCAAAAATGCCCACCCCAACGTTTTGTTGGAGCTTTCGGTGAGTGAAGAGCGATCGTAGTTTGACACACTCCCTCTCTCTCTCTCTCTCTCTCTCTCTCTCTCTCTCTCTCTCCCGGGTGTAGGGAAGTGTCACCGTCCCCGGGCAAAAATGCCCACCCGATCCTGTTGATCAGGTTAACGGGGAGTGAGGAGCACTCTCTCTCTCTCTCTCTCTCTTCTTCTTCCTTCCTTCAGGTAAAGGGAGCTGTTCAGGCTCCCCGGCCCATAGGGCCCCCCAGCGTTCCGGGGCTTTCGGGGTCTCTCTCTCTCTCTCTCTCTGTCTCTCTGTCTCTCTTGCTCATGACAGCAAACCGCCCGTGAATGATCCCCTTCTGCCTCGTGTCTATGGTACCTAGATCGTTGGTGGGAATTCTCGAAATGAAGTGGTGCCATAATCAGTATAGGTCTCCGGCAGCTCCGACTTGCACCCATGGGCTCCAAGGTTTCTGCTCTGAGTGATCTCGGTGGTAAACTCGTGAAACAGAAAACTGCACATCGGAAGTTCTAAAGCTTAGGGTTCCTTCTTGGGTCCTTGATATGACACGGCACTGCATATTTAGGGTACCCAAAAGGGACCCTAATTCAGAGAACTACGCTCATGGCCAAGCGTCGCCAAGCTGGTCTCCCACATGTGCCCAAACGTCGACACCGGGATAGTCCTGCACGACGACATCAAGCAGTTTCTGGAAGCTGTGTGCGGAAAACAGGGCATGGCTGAGCCCTCCGAACGGATTCCCCATGTAGCGGTAGTGCAGATTATCCGGGGATGCCCTCAGCCGTTCCACAAGACGCGGTCCTCGTCTTCTGCACCTTCCGGGACCACCACGAACACTTGAATTTCAGACTTTGCATGCACACTCGCCACTTGATGCACGCGAGACCTGAAAAAGCAAAATATCCTATCGGCAACCAACCCTTGGAGAAGATACGTCTGAAGCCGCACAACTTGTCCCCCCCACGCCTACTGGCGTAAGGTCCCGTGGGGCAACAGCATCGAAGGCAGCCTGCGGCCCGGATATCCGGGTGCTCGGACACAGTCAAGCATTCGCGGCCCGTTCTGATTTACACTGCACACCATGATCTGACAAGTAATGACTATGGCGACTGTAGGCCTTAGTTGGTTTGGCCCTGGGGCCGGGGCCTCTGCAGACATCCCACGCTCCATGCACTTCTCGGCGCGAATCAGCTCCGACACCCTCTGGATGAGCTCCTTCACCATGTCCTTCAGTGCGACAGCCGTGCACTTGCAAGTGCAGCGGTGAGTCCACTCAACGACACATGCAACCCATGGCTTCCTCCCACGGCTTCATCTCGTTCTACTGGTGTCCACACATGGCAGTGTCCCGCAAGGCTCTGCACCTGTCTCTATACACCCTTGCCGGTCCTCCTCGCGCACACCGAGCTTCTGCCGGTGCGAGAGCTCCACAAGGCCTTCTACTCGCAGCCCCTGCTCGTCAAGGGCGCCGCCTCACAAGCCCATGTAACCACAAATACTCTTGCTGCCACCAAGAATACCATCATGGGCAGCAGCAGCAACAACAACAACAGCACCATACGAGCACGATCGCAAGAGAACCAGCAAGAGGGCAACACGGTGGAGGACGATGGCGAGGATGACGATGACGACGATGCCCAGTTGTAATCGCGATGGGCGTGGAGACGACGACGACGGTCCATGTGAGGTCTGCGAAATACAGAGCATGGTGGCTACGAGGATGGTCGCAATGACAAGAAGAAAATGAGAGCAAGTTGAAGGCCAACAACAATGGACCCCTCAGCCTATGGAACATCTGCATATAGCTGCATCAACCCTCACCAAAGCAGAATCTTTCTCCGAGCTGAGCTCGCCACGAGCCAAGAGATCCTTGGACTTGCACCAAGCTCCGAGCTCCTGCTCATGTTTGGGCGTTCTTCGGTTTGAGTGCGATGATTTTCATATCCTGTAGGTATTGAGTCAATGCAGCTAAATGCCCGTCATGTGATAAGACGACACAGAAGGTTGAGAGAGAGCAGACAAATCATGATATTGGATGCTGGCGGCTACAGGAGGTTTGTGCACATTCGATGGTTCGCAACATAGACTAAAGTTCAGGGAGTCCCTGCCCGGTAGTAGACATGACTATCACAACTTGTGCACACGGGCGCCGGTCCCGACAATCCGGCTAGCACAGACAACTAGACACTATGATAACAGCACCTGCTCAGAGTCTCACTCTCGGAGGGACTGAAAAAATGGCTGGAGCTGCAGAATTTGGGGGCTCGGATCCAACTGCCAGGCTGGTTCACGCCTTCTTCATCAGCTTCAGCAAGGGCAGCTTGACCACCATGCTAGCCGTCATGGCCGTCCCGACATTCCCGGGCGAGGAGTTCAGATAGCCTGCACATGAAGGCCGTGTCTTCTGCAATGTGCTAGCCAACAAAGAGCTTTTGCGCGAGGACGTGAAGAAGGAAGCAATCACAATGAGAATTGCAGTGATACTTTTGCCTCAGAGGGTAAGTTCGAAGAACAGTTAAAGAATCTCGGATAGCAAGTGATTGCATCGACCATTTTGGCATCGGTAGGAAAGCCAGCCAGTCAACGAATCTCAGCATGGGTCAAGACAAGACACAACAGCCAACTGGACGATTAACAGCAAGAGAAAATTTCTATCTTGGAGGATTTTGAACCCCCCCGCTTGCCTAGACGGTCACTCTTCGCAAAGCCACCCGCCAGGCGCTCCAGCGTGGATAGCAGAGTTACCTGCAATTACCCCACGCTCCGTGATGCAATCCGGTCTAGTCTAGCCGCCTAAACAACCCTTTTGAAGAACAGCGGCCCAGTTCTGCTATAAGATTCATCAACTTGCATAAGGCTCGGAAAGTCCTACAGACAGATGTTCGGGCGACCACCTGGTCACGATCTAGGTGTGCATTCGGCAGCATGCAATATCGGAATGGTACATGTAATGAATGTATTGTTGGAACCTCGGAGAAGCACCGCATGTCAAGATTTGGAACTCCCAGTTTCACCCCAAAGCTGGATCACTGTTTGAAGAAGTTCAAGCAGAACATGGCCACATTGACTGCGACAACGACTGTAATCTCATCTTTGCAGCTATCCACAACTCTCCAACAACTCAGCTGAGCATCATCTACCCAAAGATCTCAAAACCCTAAACCCAACTAAGCGGAGCACCATCTCCCCCAGCATCTCAAGGAGCTGACCATCTTGGCCTTGGGATGTCAAGGAGCACGGCTTGAGCTTTGCGATCCGGCGGAAGGGTTCCGGTTCGGAGCCCTTGCTGAGAGAGAACATGATAAGTATTATGTAGTCTTACAGGGACTGTCAGGTGATTTCTTACTACTGGTAATCGCTCCGACCCCTATGTTTGTGACACGACGCTTGCCACAGCTCCTGCAAGGACTTCGAAATAGAGAGGGAACACGTCCCAAATCATGTACTTGTTGCTTGACTGTAGAGAGAGCGAGGGAAACGACAAGACGGGCTCTGCAAAGGACCACGATGTACCTGCAGTTTCACCCGCATTACTCGCAGCTGCGCGGCGATCTGCCATGAGCTTCAGATGTTCTTCCTTGAACAGACGCGGTCAGTGGCAGAAAGAAGGGCGGCAAAGATACAGAGTGTGCGTAGTGACTTAGTGAGCCAATTAAGACCTTCCTCACATGCAAGGAAGAGAGGTGCTACAACCGCTTCGCCTCGTTGATCCACGCAGTCAGGGTCCGGTCCTGGCAAGCGAACTCAGCTGAAAGGACGCCCACATGGGCTCGAAGACTCGCCGTGAGAGTCTCTACCCAGCATGGGGCCGTGCAACTACAGCAAATCGGCTTGAATTGCCATCGGCGCACCGAAAAATGATGCAGCGCAGGGCTCCAAATAACTTCGCCTGCCCAATGCACCACTACCGGTACTGCTACTGCCTCCTGCTTCTGCTGCTACTACTACTACTACTACTACTACTACAGGCTTTAGGCACACTCCTGGTTCGTGAACACCCCGCGACCATCCGGCCAATGGCGGCCGCTTCCAGTGCTGAGCCTCGGCTTTTGGACTTTTCCCCCCCAAAGAAGCTACAACTGAGCTGGGAGATTTAGAACAAAAGCTGGTCAGAGAACGGCAAAAATCACTCTGAAGATTTAGAAGATGCAGAAAAATCAGAATTCCAAGACTAATCCGCCCTGCGAACAGGTCCAAATGATGCAGCTGGTCAGTTGTAGTCCGCACAGGACCACATAAACTGGCCTACGATCGACTATGCCACCTGTCCAGCCTCGAAGCAAGACTTGGAAAGAGAAGAACCTAAACAGAGGCCCGGCACCGCTTCAGGATACCAGTAGCCTGAAGCGCTAAATCAAGATTCAAGAAATCCCCACAGGATCCAGCAACGACATCAGCATGTCGAATACGGGCCAGAACCCGTCGCCAGCTTCTCAAGCCGAAGAATGAAACCCCCTTTTTCCCGTCCTACATAGCAAGGACATGCCTGCATGAAACCCATTCTTTCTCACCCGCATGAAACCCATAGGGTTTAGGGCTTTAGGGGGTTTCGGGTTTAGGGGATAACTTGAGGCATTCAACCCGGCCCTATCTTCTTTCATGCAAGGTGGCACCGCTGGAGAGTCGGGCTCCCTGAAGAGCCGGCCACACTGCGTCAGAAGCAGCTCCTATTATTCATATGTTTTCTATTTTTATTAATATTATTATTATTATTGTCATTATTCTGTTCAAGACCCTTATAGGGTCCTTGTATCTCCCGACCTACTCGGGGTTTTAGGGCTTTGGGGCACACGGCGTTTACGGCTTACGGCCGTTGATGGAGATGAGGGTCAGAGCTACTTAATAAACATATCCCCTTATCGGTTTTATTGTAAACGCCCAAAAAAAAAGGTACTAATTTCGTAGACCTGAAGCCTTAAAGCCTACCCTCAACCCTAAAACCCTGCAAAGCCGAAACCCCAAAGCCCAAAGCCCTGTTTTCTTCAGCACAGGCTTTAAGTGTGTAGCCTAAAGCCTTAAACCGGGTCCCCTTAAGCCAGGCTCCTCCTTCGCTTGCATCCCGCCGGGCTTGGGAGCGTAGGTCTGGGATCCCGCGAGAGGGAAGTAGTCTCCTTCAAAACTTAGGGTTTAGGATTTAGGGTTGGGTTTATGCTCTCACAACTCGGACATGCCAGGCGAGGTTCATGGTGCGAAGTCGGCGTGACACGATGAGCAACATCCCATTCACAGTTCAAGGCAAAACACCCCCAAGAAGGACCAAGATCTAAGATTTAGGGTTTTGACTCACACATTCGCACGCAGGCAGGCATGGTTGAGGGTTTAGGGCCTAGGGTGTAGGGCAAGACTTGGCAAGATCCTGGGTACCTTAACTTAAGGGACTTGTAAAAACAGTGATCTGAATCCGCCTTTCGGGGCATTGCGCCACCTATGTTCGGCGGATTTGAGAGACTGGCTCTTGATTAAGCCTCAATTTAGGATGAAAGGATTCCACTGGTTCCCGCCGACATACCCCGGCGCCAGCCATGTAGTGCTTCACTATGTCTTACAACAATGACCTTATCTCAATGGGGTCCAAGCCGAGCCGAGCGAGTTTCGGCACAGCCCCGGTCCCTGGAGCCGTCCGCCGAGCAGTGCTTTCACCAACATGCGCTCCACCTCTGCTCGCTCCGATCGGAGCATGGACGGCACGAAGCGTAGTCCCTGGACGTTCCTCGGGTTTTGGGGCGTGGGTTGAGCAAGCATCTCAAAGCTGTTGACCCCCGGCCCCTTTCAATTCCACCATGGCCTGGAAACACGAAGGTGGCTCGAGACAACGTAGCTCGGGTCGGCCAGAGCTACGGCAGGGACGAAGCGCTTTGGACTTCCGAGGTGCGGTCGCTCGAGGGCGGCCTATGGCCAGGGTTCACTGCTTGCGCCGCTAGATCAAGGCAAGGCAAGGGCAAGCTTAAAGCCCCCATGATGCATGCCCCTCCTGCCCAAAGCACGAAGCGATGAGCTTGTCAAAGAACGGCTGGAAAGTGTCGTAGCAATCTGCGTCACCCGCCACTGCTCCTGGCACTACCGCCCTCCTGCCCTTTGTGACCCCAGCCCGAAAGCATTCAAGCCAACCTGTCAGCTCTTCTTCACCCTGAAAACAGCAGCAGTCTGCAAGCCGCCCTACCCGGACCCTGGCCTAGAGTCTTGATCATGGGGTGACCGCGGTTGTCCATGCCGGTCTTGATGCATTTGGCAAAAGTCACTCCCATCGGCGTCTGCCGAGATCGCATCGCGTCACAAAGGGCTGGCTCTTCTTTGAGAACATCGGCCGTGATGCTGAAGTGTCTCGAAAGGTCCGGCATCTGCTCCGGACATCTGTCCGCTGGAAAGCCCTCGAGCTCCGTGTCTCCCAGACCAGGGAGGCTTGCAAAGGGCAGCCCACCATCCGCCATGGCTGCCCTGCCCTGCCCTCCTCTACGGGCTCTCTGCCTGATCTTGGGTCTTATATAGACGAAGAGCAGACCTTCGCCAAATGTGAACAAAGTCCATGACTGTGGACTCGGCTAGCAAGCTACCAGGCTGGGGCTCGCGGCTCTCTTTTTCTGTGCTCGCAGGCTCTTCGCTGCAGTTCTGAACGCGAACCAGCGTCTTTCGGGGAGCCAGCCTCGGCTCTGCAGGCATGCTCTAGTCATACCATTACAGTTTATAATGCCACAACATGGTGTCTCCGGAACTGAGGCACGGAGCGTCAGACACGTCTGACCCTTACGAAAGTCGGGCTGAGCCCAACACACTTCGAGATCAGGGCCTTAGGTGACTGAAATTGCTCGAGGCGGCGACAGAGATCGTCGGAGCGCACGAAGGGACAGATCAGTGGGGTTTCGCGTATGATAATTACCGGGCATGCTACTGCCCTGCAGCATCTCAGAACGGCCGAAGAGATGCTAAACGCCAGGCGGCCTAAGCCAGCGAAGAGCTCGAAGAACTGGTACTTCAGCACCTTCACTTCGTGGGCGCCATTCCACTCGTCACCTTGCAATCCCCAAACAAATGCGACAGTCTTCCGAGCTCTGCGTGCGATCGACACGGAGCTCTGTTGTATATACTACAATATAATATGCCGTGGTACCGGGTAACATACCGATAATATACTTATACAATATAACAGGTGTCGCAACGGTGGCTGCTAGAACATCTTGTGTTGAGCATGCTATCGCGGGCATGATGGTCGTCTTCTGGGGTTCGTTTTTCCACGCTTGGTGCGACTTCAAAACATGCCAGGGTCGGCATCAGCCGTGCAGTCATGAGGCATCGGCTTGTCGCTTCGTGCTGCCCATGTCGAGACGTCTTCCGGCTGCGGCTTGACATGCTTGACATACCATGGCGGGGACAGGGGCTTTGACATCTTCGGCTGCCTTTGGGCCTGTACCTCTGGAACTTTGGTTGGCGCATCGCCCGGGACTGCCAGCACTGAGATGGCCCAATATCTGTTTTGCCCTGCGTTGACAGCTCGGCCTGGCTTTCCAGCGGGTGAAGTCCATTGCTCTTCACGGAGTAGGCGATGCCGTGGACGAGGGGCCGTGATTGAATTCTTCGGCATGCCCCATGTGTATGTGCCTGCGGAACTGCTCGTGAAGGGATTTACATCCGCTTGGTCTTCCAGCCTGTTGTAAGGTCTGCAGAAGTTGCGAATCACCACAGTTTTTTGTGTGTAGGAATCGCTCTGGTATGGCTTTCCATGGAATTTTGACTGCCTGCAGTTAGTCAAACTCCCACTCTTTGATTGGCTACAACATCCTAGACAGGGTGGCAGGTGCACCTCTCTGGTATTCTCCGCTTTGTTGTCTAGAGCTTTGTAAGGCTCCCCTTCGTTTTCACAAGTTTCCCGCCGACTTCACTTCAAGAGCAAGAAGGATGGTGTGACTGGTATCCTTGGCGATTTCCCTGTCATCTGAAGCTGTAGTAGCAGGAAGCTGCTTCCGTCTGCATGTGCTTCTAGCAGTTCGTGGTCACCCTTGTCTCAGAAAGGATCTCGCCAGCTGCTGTAAAGACCTAAGGGCCTAAGGGCTTGGTTGACATCTTCGTGGCACTTGTGCCTTTGGAGTCGCATTGGACAGTATTGGTGGGTGAGCTCCTGACGAGCTAGTTCCTTGGATTGCCAGGCCTTTGGAGCAATCGGCTTGCACACTACGGACCAGCACAGGAGCAGCAAAAAGGTCGAGAAGGTTGGCTAAACCCTAAACCCTAAACCCCTATAAACCCCTATAAACCCGAAACCCTAAGGTTGGTCTTCCAGCAGATCCTGGAAGCTCTCCATCCTTCAGCAGGATCCCGGAAGCCGAAGGAGCGAGCCGCACAAGAGTGCTTGTTGCTGCTGCAAAGGCCGCCCCAAAGCCAAAGGCACCAAACGTCCAGGAAACCAAGAAGCTGCAGCTGAAGATGCTTGATGCTTGTAGGTCTATGACTGGAAAAGCCTGCACTGCCCAAGTCTGACACCCTGGCTTCTACACCGAAAAGCCGATAACTCTACGGCCCAAAACATTGAACCAACCCTTTTCGCACGAAACCGAAGAGCTCCACCACTGAACCAAGCCCGGAACGCTTCAACCATACACCCTATACCTAGACTCCTAGACCCTGAAGAACCTACCTTTTTATGGGCTGATATAAGGAGATCATAAGGAGAGACCCAAAAAAGGTAGGTTATTTACCTCAAACCTCAAAGGCAGACGGAGGGCAGAAGTACCGAAAGCGGGCCGAGAGCGCTTCCACCGAACCAGGCCTCGAGCAGGATCTGAGGGACCGGCTCAGGTTTAGGGTTTAGGGTTTACGCTCTCACAACTCGGACTAGCCAGGCGAGGTTCATGTGTGGGTTTAGGGTTTAGGGTTGCTTCGGATAGGGTTTGGGGTTTAGAGTTTGGCTTTAAGTTGCTTGGGGGGTTTCTTTGTCCGAACTCCTTTCTGCAAAGGCTTTAGGGCTTACGCTCTCACAACTCGGACAAGCCAGGCGAGGCTCACGGGGATTTTTTGGTTTGGGGTTCTGGGTTTAGGGCTTTTTCCCTCCTGCTTCGCAAGGACTCTGGGTTTAGCGTTGCTCTTGAGCTTTAGGGGGTTTTGAGTCGCTCGCGCTTTGGTGGGCAAGCCAGACAAGCAAGGACTGTTCTGTTGAGCCGTTTTGGCTCCACTTAGATGTGCGCCCGGTCGCCCGGGCAGGGGGGGGGGGGAGCACTTCGAACGACAAATCGCGCTGCAGGCAGCTACACCGCAAGCCTGACGAACCCCAAGCAAAGCTTCAAGGGATCAGGCTCCCTGGCCTGGTGCTTGGAAAGCTCATCCACCGGCCACGGCGTCCTGCAGCAAGCTTTGCATATGCGGGTTCAATGTCGGGTTGCGGTTGAGGGTGTGGATGCCTGTATTCGGCCACTTGGGTTGCGGGAGGACAGGATCGCCGGCTGTAGGACTCGGAGAAAAGATGCCAGAAGTTCCGTAAGTCAGGCAAATGATCTGTGTCTTGTGCAAACCTTGCATACTTGTCTACATATCAAACTGTCATGACAACATCTCACAACCTGAGATGTACGGCTGCTATGGAGGCCAGCTAGGCCAGGTAGAGTGAGTGACACCTGCTGAAGCTGCAAGACTTTACCGATCTCATGCGTGTCTTATGCGCCTCAACTTGCTCAAACAAAGTCCCAGCGGAAAACTGGGAACAGCACATCACACTCCAATCGTGGATCGACTCTATCGCTTCGGTCCGTAGCGCGGCTCCGCAAATGATACTGGTTGCCAGGACCAGAGATCCACGGTGCTGCCTAAGCGGCAAGGAGCACGTTGCTTCGTTGTCGCTAGGTTGGCTTAGGCGTTCCGCGCCACGGAACCACCACAGGCCCTCCACAGGAGCCTCACATAACTATCAATACCAACTGGGGGTTGCTATTCTAACTATAGTATATAATCAGTAAAACCCAATTCTACTTTCTCGTTCTTAAGGCCCACCGTATTAGGCCAAGATCAGCCCGGCCACCGTTCGCAAGGCGCGCTGGGGCCACCTGTCGCCGTTCTGACATGTCCTGCTCCTAAAACAATATAATGTAGTACAATATACAATAATATAGTGTAATATTGTAATGTAAGATAACACAATATAATACAATATGATATGATATAACATGATATGATATGCCAGGATATGATATGATAAGACAAATTGTGATTTCTGTCTTCTGTTGTGGCACCCTGGCCTCTTGTCATCTTTTTGCATCCGGTCTGCAGCGACTCTACCGGGAAAGACGGAAACTGGAAACCCCGAGGGAGCTTCGAAAAGCCGCCTCCCAGTTCAAGGTGGTGTCAGCGCCTGTGAACCTCAGGGCGGGCGACATTGGACGCAGCCCCCACGGAATTGCATGTTGGGTTGTTGCTGGACTTCAGACGACCCAACAAGGAAGGAAGGATCGTGCCCGGTGACAGGTGCGAACGGGATGCCCTTCGGACCCTCAGCCCTAAGCACTACTACGCCCTGAACCCGAAGCTGTAGTTCTGGCAGTCAAGGCTCACGCGCCAGCGGTTCAGAAGCAGCACCGTTGGGACCGGGCCTTTCAAAGCAGGTCCGACACGAACTTGCTGGCTGGATTTGCGGGAACAGCTGTTACGTCAATCATCTCCATAACCGTGATAAAGAACCACAAGTGTAACCCCAAGACCCAAGAACAAATCCAGAACATGTGACATAAACCCCATACTTACTATTACCCTAAACTTCTGGCCGACTGAATTCTGCCGCAGCTCGCGTGATCCTCTCTGGTTCCAATAGTAATGCATAGAGCCGATAAAAACAATAATAATGTGAGTATAGCTACAATGGTGACAGAGATATTTCGGTGGATATAAACATAACATGACATCAGTAAACCTAGCAATCGCAAGACCGATGCTAGCACAGGGGAAACTAACCACAATACTGATACTGAAAATGATAATACCTACTGGACCTATTAATACCCTAGTAAGTTCTGATTCATCAGAAACACGAATCGTCATCGCAATAGCAATTACTCGAAGTGGGGCTTGAGGTTGGGTATGGAAGCCATTTAAACAAAAGTAACTAGGAGCTGCCAATAACAGAAGTGCTAGATACGGCTGGCCTAAGCAAGAAACGCAATGTTTGCATCGGCGATATTGACATGCGTACGGGCAAAGTATTCACATCATAGTAACAGCAACAGCCCTTGCACCCGCAATAGCAGTAGCTCCAGCAAGCACTGTAAACAGCAATGTGATGGAGCAGTCCGGGTTATGTATACTGCTAGTCACTGTTACACTTCGACTAGGACTAGGACCCGCACTGGCTTCAGGCACCGGGGGCCTTTCGCGCTGGGTCGAAGCACTTTCATTGCCGAGAGATGCCGAGAGCTTTCGCCACTAACCGATGTCGCTTCTGAGTGTTGGGTTGCTCGTGCAACCCTCCAACGTTTCCGTAGTTCCGGCACGTCTAGTTTGGGAAAGACAGCCCAGAAGCTCGAAGCCAGATGTCAGACACGCAGCCAGTCCTTCCTGGTCCAAAGGATGGACCTGTCGCCACCATCCATGTTGCACAAAGCTGCAGCTTGCAACAGATGCCCGCTGACATGCGTTGCAGAGCCATTCCACTCTCAGCAGGACCCGAACTTCACACAATCAGCGTGACGGCCAGTAGTGAAGCAGTTCACAAGTCGAAGTCCTACTTCTTCCAAGGCAGCACAGGCTTGCAGGCGTCTTCGTAAGAGATCCTGAGTTGACTGTCGTTGCTCTCACCACATGAGTACTGAGAGGATGTTGCGCGCCAACTCGCAAAGGTGGTCCACATGCCAAACACTGACACACGCAGATCCTGCGGCTTTTTGTGGGGACAATCTTCCCACAGCCAGTCATCGGAAAGCCACATGACGTTGCCATCCCACTTGTCTCGATGTGAGTCATGATAATATGTTGGCGCAATCTGTGGGCCGAAAGCCAACTCGGCATGATAAATCCGTTGTTCTGTAATGCTTGGCCAGAGTTTGGGAGCCGTCGCGCGGATGTCGCTTCGAGGCCGTCGCAGCTCTGCAGAAATCTGGAGCCTGCGTATCAGCACCTCTTCGGTATCATTGGTTCTTACAAGAGATCGGTAGACACTGCCTGAATGCACTCCGAATACATTTTGGCAGGTTGGAAAAATAGGCGTACCTTCATCATCCTCCGTCAGCCAGAGCTCCTCCCGCATGGAAGTGATCTTGCGAGCGGAGGTCAGGTCTGCAGCCAGAAGGAGCAAGGCACCCCCACTATGAACATAAATGGCGCCACCCGGGCCCGGCAAGAGGGGAAAGGAGTCCTTCATCAAGGAGCCATAGGGGCCTTGCAGAAGCCGGCAGTCTCCGCATGGAAACCAAAATCGCAACTCTGAAGCCGGGCCATCCTGGCAGCCCCGACTCGAAGCATCGCCCAGAGTCTGCAGAGGCTGCCAGGCAGCGCCCACGCGCTGGTAGACGTAGATGGCATGCTCCCCGGCAAAGGTGAGAAGAACCGCGTTTGCGGGTTCAGACCATGCTATGCTCGTGGCCCTCCTGCCGCAGGATCCCCCTTCGGCACGAAGCCTTTCGGCACTCGCGGCCTGGCAGGGCCGGAGGCGGTAGAAGCCAATGTAAGTGCCATCGGAGTGCACTTCAGCCGAGATGGCCACCTCTTTGCCACGGTCCAGGCAGACCGCCTGGCAGTCAGCATCTGCAGGCGTCAAGCATACGGTCCTTGCAGTCACGGGACTCAGCTCGCATGCAATTAACTGCAGTGGACCCGCAAACTTTCGGCGGCTTCCAGTGGCAAGAGCGACTGCTAGTCCAACAGAAGGAAAAGGATATCCCTGCAGGGACGACATGGCATGCATTTCCACTGCTGTCACAAGTGGGTCGTGGCCATCGAGAGGAAGAGAAAAGGCTGGGCTGTCTGCTGGCATCACCAGCAAACTGTTTCTGGCGGAGTTCCGGAAGCTATAGCATCTTTCCTCGTAATTTCGCCTTCGAGCAGGATGCTGCCGCCGATAGCCAGGCTTCCAAGAGAAGGGCAGGTATTCCACCCTTGGGCCCGACGGCCTTTTTTTGTCGCCGTCAGCGTCCTCGAGCTCTGAGGCATGCAAGCTATCAGAGCCTTCACCGGAGTCGTAACCGTACCTGGCGCCATTACGGCGCCCGAAGTGTTCAGGAAGGCCTCCTCCTACCAGAACGAGAAGGCCACTTTCCGGGTCGATGCCAACGCAGCCCATCCTAGCGGTGGGGACGAGGACTTCCTTCGGCGGCCATCCCCTCCTCCCTGCACGCGCCAGGTTTAAGACTCGCAGCTCCTCAAGGTAGCCGTCGGTCTCTGGCAGTTGCTTCCACTGAACTTCAAGACGTGTCGTCGGGACGGGCAGCTGAACCAACAGCGTCGCCTCGACCTCTGCCAAATCTGGAGTATCACCACCTGGATGCTTAGAGAATGGCAGCAATAGGCATGCCACACTATGAATGCCACAAAAGGCTTCATCAAAGATATGGACAGCGGGCATGCATACTCACGGTTCTCACAGGCTCACAGGTAAAGAAAGGTCCGAATCGGATTATGAATCAAACCTGCGCTGTTTCGCAGATGCCCGCCTGCTAGCAACATTTCCTCGTCTTCCACACGGCGGTGCCCGATGAGAACCTGCTGAGTCTCGCGGGGCAAGCCAGTAGATTCCTTCAAGGATCTCTGCTTCTGTTAACGCTGCTGTAACTGCGGAGGCTCTACCCTAAACTCCGAACCTGTAAGGTTTGAAAAAAGCTTCACATCCTTCTTTCTATTACGGGCTTTGCTTGTATTACTCGTCCTTTCGCGTTTCAACTGGCCTAGCTGCCTAGCTGCTTGCTGATCGCGCACCGCTACTACTAATTACTAAGCATGATTGTGTTTCACTTCCAGTGACTCTTAGGCGGACTCAAAGTGCAACTCCTGTAATATAGGAATTTGTACGTATAACTACTATTCCAATCCAGTCCCTATATAGTCAGTGTCAGAGTAGAATATACCCCAAACTCCTTCTACTTGTGGTGGCCTAGAGTACCGTTACCCTTTCACAGGCACCTGCGGCGTTTATCGACGTCTTGGTCGGTCCTCCACTGCCTGCTTGAGATCCAATGCCTGGGCCTCTCGAGGCAGCCTGAAGCGGCCGATCTCCTGACCACTGGGGCCGAGGACCACAAAGGTCACCTTCCAAGTACTGTCTTATTTGCTTCTTGCAACGGGAAGCGATTGTTTTGGGATGAGCTCGGCTGATCAAAAAGGGACTTCCAAAGTCGGTACACCGAGCCACCGAAGGAGGCTCGGCGCGAAAGACTTCACCAGCTTGCCCCTCGCCGACCATTGCTTCGTGGGATCTCTTCATTCCTGTGTTGTCCGACTGGATTTGCGAACGCGTCCCTGGTGTCACCACCTTGCATGCTCGAGCCGGACTGGGCCTTGCATGGAGATGGTCAAAGCCACATAAACCCCGGAGTTTCGGTTTCGGATTCATGGATAGCCTTGAGAATTCAGAGACTTCTTGTGATTCGAGGCCTCTTCCTGAAGTCATCAAAAAGCCATCACAGGTTAGGCCCGACGTCCTTGAGCCAGAAACCCAAGCCCTGAACCTTAAGCCCTGTACCTCGAACCTTCACTGCCCCCAAGAGCATCCCCGGCTCTTCCTGTGGAGTTCCTTTCGCGACTCCTCCGAGCCTGGGCGGCTCTCCATGCCGCTGAGGCCGAAGGCCAGGCAGGCAGCCAGGAAAATCGAGGCCGCCTGGGTTTCGGCGCTCACACTCGGACACAGGGTTTTGGATTTTTTTTTGGGTGGAACAGAGACTGCTATTCCTATACGACTATGACGTATGATTTGGTTGCAGTACTTCGATGGTACTACTACAGATCTACTGCAATATGCTTTTCCCTCTCGCTTTGCCGAGGCTGCGAGGTGATGATGATTTTGTGATCTAACTACTCCGATGCAAGTACATTGCCGGTGTATTTCATCATGTTACACGTATGTTCAGAGTGGTATTGCTACGATGTTGCTACTGTGGCATCGTTACATTACTACTATACTACTACTAGTCACCCTACAACGATTGAATTTCCATTATGTTGCTGCGACAAAACCCTATAATACCATCACACTAGTACTGTGAAGCTGCTATATTACGACAGGCATTTATGGGGTTCAGGGAAACAGGACGTGCTTGGCGTTTAGACCGGCTAGGCTGCTGGGTAAGTACAGCTTTGCCTCGCGATCCCGGGAGCGGAACGTGCAACAAGGTCGAGAAAAGGAATCCAGGAGCCCGACATGATTGACAAAGAGGGACATGTTGCCCCAAAGGAAAGCACCGTTGCACAACACCCGCAAATGCCGTCCGGCAACGGCTTGGTCGTCAGAGCTTGCCCTTTTGCCAACCTACCTGCCGAAGGCTTGCGGCTTGCGGTGTCAAAACTGGCAAGCAGCCCAACCACATGCCGGCGCATCCAGGCGGCGTCCTTCAAATCGTTTTCGATCGCAACTCTTAAGGTTAAACAGTTAAACAGGTTGAAACTCTCGCCACTCCACCTGAATGCAACTTGCTGGGAGGCTCTTGCCATTCCATCGGGTGCGCTCCGGCTTGCATGCCTTTATTCCGGAAGTCCTCCATCTCGCACGGCAAGGCCAAGCGCCTGAAGAGTCAGCGTCTCTGCAGCGGATGCAGTCTGTCCGCCCTCGACCAGCACAGCAAAAACCGATCTTTACTACTGGCCCGAAAGCAGAGGTGCATGCGAGCAGCTTGCACTCATGCATGCTGAATGAAGCATTGAACTAATCTGTCGTTGGCACCTTCACCGCCAAATACCCCTGTGGAATATGGCCTCCCAAAACGCCCCGGGGAGCAGCGCTGCCCAGGTCGCCAAGGCCACCAAAGCGATGGCGAAGCCGCCCTCCATCGAGGCACCAATGCCTGTGAAGCCCTCTACTTAGGGTAACTAGTTTGAGCGTGATTAGTATGAGTGACGCTGGGCTTCTACCACCCAAAAAACCAGCGACTTCACAAGTTATTTGTCTTTTATTTAACTATTTACGAGCATGAACCTCCATAGGCCATTGGTGTTGGGGGGGGGGGGGGGNNGGGGGGGGGGGGGGGGGGGGCGTCGACAAATACATGCCGAAGCAAACGGGCTCTCCCTGATAATCTTTGTCCGGCATGGCGTGTGGACACGTGCGACGCTAAATGCCCACATGTCCCTCTGCTCCGGCCGCACTGCCCGTGCGTCTGCGACAGCTGAGATCTTGTGAAACAGCCGTTCAATATAAGTCTGTTCTCAATTGAGTCGAGCCATGTGCTCTACCTGTGCCTGTCGCAGTTGAGGCGTGCATGCGAGTGACAGCCTGTCATTTCATACACCTCCTGGACTCCTGGTCACGCTGTGTCCGTATGGTGCTTTGTGGTGCTACCCCTTCAGCCCAAGCAAGAAACGAATTTGTCGAAGTCCCAACAACGTCCACGATGCCACAGGTAGGCAGCGACACGATCTGTACACCTCCCGCTATGCGAACCAATTTCTGGCTTTCTCGACTGGCATGTTTCTCCCTCTGTCTTGATTTGCTTCTGTCATTTTCTGTCCTTTTCTCCTTTCGTTGTGCGCAGGGTCGCTCTAGATTGTCAGTCCAGACCGACTCTGCTGATCGGAAAGTTAAGTTGGCCAGCGGGAACAACCGTTGCGGTTTGAAATCTTGTCAGTGTGTCTTTGAACCCTGTCGTGGTAAGGACCTACTCTGACAACCTGCCCGTGGCCTATCGCAGCGGTCCTCCTGCCCACTCCAAAGGCACCCTCGAGTTTCTCCATCTCTATGTATACGTTAGTTCATTCTTGTCGCTGGCCGCGTTGTGGATTCTTGCCAACTCCCCTGCGCGAGAGCAGGCCGCCATGTTCACTAATTGGGTGAGCACCAAGGTCACTAGGATTGTCGCGCGAGGCTTCAAGACTTCGTCGCTTTCAAATCGCTAAATCGAAGGACGAGGTGAAAAACGCTGAGGACTCTTTCCCTGCCTCCCTTCTTCAGCTCTCCCCCTGCGTCTTTCGGAGGCCTAGTGACACAATCAATTCAAGCACGGCCGCCCCCGACCCCCCTCCCCCCAATTCCCAACCTTGGGCCTCTCAGTTCGAAACTACGCACTGCCTTCCTACCCCCAGCAGCTGCGAGCAGACGCCGAGCTGCCAGCATGAAGCAGCATCACAGTGAGAAAGGGCAAGGCTTGCACCTGGACAGTGCTGGGCTACTCAGCAACCCAACCTGCAAACCTCACGCCGCTACTGCAAGACTTCCGTGCGGTTCTCCAAAACTTGCTCCTGAACCAAACATAAGCCGAAGACACTCAGACAATAAGATGACAATCCAGCCGTGAGAGCTGCACCCAGCAACCACCGTGGAGGGCTGCCGCGATCATGGCAGGGCCGACCAGAAGTTCAGCCTGCAAATGCTGGAATATCGTCGCTTCGTGTTTTCGACTTTCACTTGGCGAATCGGCCATTGTGGCTTGGGCTGCTTAATGTTGTTCAGCTCCCGTGTCGAAAGGTCTGGTGGCAAGCACAGCAGGTCTCAACAGGGGCGTTTGGGCTAAACTGCTTCTCTACTCACTCTATCTGCCTCAAGCCACATCTACTCGTATGGTACTATTATGAGTTTTGTCAGAAACTCTGGTAGCTTAGCAGCTTAGCCGTAGCACGCTGTTGATACCAGTGGCCCATGCCGCTGCGGCTCCGGCGGCCCGCAGCAAGCAGCCACCAAGCGCAGCATCCAGGCGCAGCAGAGGCGTGAAGGCAGGGGCCCGGAGGTAGACCTTCGGGAGGGAGGGGCAGGAAGACTTCTTGGCGGGAGAGGGGGGAGTGGACGAGGTAGAAGAAAAGCCTGGCGGTTCTTTGCTGCATGCATGTGCCTGTTTTTATCCCTCCATCTCTATAATGTGTACACACGTGCATACCTTGCTATCTATCTATCTACCTACCTACCTACCCACCGACTTCCCTACGTACCTACCTACCTAAGTACGTGTACGTACCTGCCTCCTTGACATTACATCACATTACATTTACAGTTTCATTTACTGTAGAACGCAACACAACACAACCCACAACTAGACATAGATTTACAAATACAACATGCTGTTACCGAACATACCACAACACAACACAACACAACATGGGTTCATACCTAAACCAGGAGAGAGAGAGAGAGAGAGAGAGAGAGACAGAGAGTTAGATAGATGGATAGAAGTCCATGCTAAAAAGTGGTTCGATACAGAAGAAAAGAACTGCTTGTCTTTATGATGTAGGCATCTTTGCAAAAGCAGTAGGAACAAATTTGGTACCAAGGACAAGTCAGGTTTCGGCATGACAGGCCATCAACTGGGTCCTGATGCATACAACGTGTTTGATGCGTCTGCTTGTGGGGGGGGGGGGGGGGGGGTGGCAGACAATGATAATGATCACGCTCATGCCAGCTATGCTCTATAATATATATATATGTACATACATACATACATACATACATACATACATACATACGTGCATGTATGTATATATATATATATACATATATATATATACATACGCGTGTGTACAAAAGCGTGTATATTATATATATTTTTATAGCGAGATAGATAGATAGCTATCTAGCTAGCTAGATAGATCGATAGATATCACACGTATTCACCATTTATTCTTCAACTCAAGAAGACTCAGAACACTACACACATTGGAAGCAACAAGCACACACCAGGGAACGACGCTGATGGTAGCGTCCTCAGCTCGGGACAGCCAAGGCAGGAACGGCAGCGCCCAGCGACCAGTCCCCTGCAACATCTACTTGGAGGTTCATGGGTAGTTATAAGTGGGGTTATAATTAAGGTAACTATAGCTATAACCCATATTAGGGGACTTATAACCCTACTTATAACTACCCATGAACCTCCAAGTAAGGAGCTTTCAATCGGACTGTCGATACATTCTCGCCTTTGCGCTAGCTGTAAGTTCAAACCGAAGAAGAATGCCACGCAAGACGAAAGAAATGGGCCATGGCTCACAACGGCACTTGCGGCAAAGGAAAAAAAGAGCCGATCCTGCCACGGAAGAGGTCCAAAGTCAGCGACTTCAAAAATATGCCAAGGCCACGTAATAACCGGCGATGATGGCGAGCTCGTGTTTCGCTTTAAACTAAACCCAAAACCCCTGACACTAAACATCCGAAGGTCATGAGAAGCTGAAGACTCGGCACCCTGCACAAGTCGCCTCGCTCTTGCACCACCTTGCCGTAGCCAGCATCTATGTAGATCCAGGCCTCGGGGTGGCGGAGGCCCCCGCCTTTGAGTGAAGCACCAAAAAAAAGCAGGCTAGGACTTTCTGTACTCGTATGATGGTCTATGGGTCGAAAACTCGCTGGAAGCCCCACACACACACAGAGGTACCCTTTTTGCATTAGTGGTGAGACCCCCCAGTGCTAAGCCTCTGACCAGTTGAGCACGCAATAGTACCTCACTTGACTCCATCGGGCACCGCACTGTCTTGGGCTCAGGGATTCAGGCTCACCTGCCTGTCTCTCCAACCTTCTGTCTGGCCAAAGTGCAGGCATCCATCGGCAGCCAAGATGCCACGGCCACAGACCAGCCTCCGGGGACCTCCCCGTAGGGCAAGCAGCTTGTAAAGAGCAACGCCACCAGGAGATACCGGTCCTCGGCATTGAATTTTAATGACGCGCAACAGCCGCTGAAAGGGCAAAGGATCTCTGGCCCTCTGGCTCGAGCTCGGAGGGAGCTTCAGGATTCCAAGTTCAGGAAGCAGCCCTGCAAAGGGACTCAGGGCATAAGATTGCCGGCACTGCCACTGGCCGCTGCCGCAGGGCTTCCCAGGGGCTCAGAATGCAGAAAGCTAGCAGTTGGAGGCACTTGCCTTTATGATTGAACAATGAAACTATCCACTCTGGACTCTAGATTAGACTCTAGACTTTCGAAGGAGACGCGAAGGCGGCCTGTCACGACTGAGCTGCATGTGAAGAGATGGCGGGCAAACCTTTCCCAAAGTGGTGAAGGACATGTCCAGGCTGCCCAGGGTCGAAGATAAAGCTCGCGTGAACGTTTCGCAGCACCTCAGACAACACAATGGATATGATGCGTCTTCTGGGCGGTGGTTGAGTTGTCAATGTCCTGCTTTATTCTTGCGGTGGTTGGGATTTCTCGCTTGCGAGGTGTCATCAAAGGGTTACAAGGTAGCTGCAGTCTTGACAGGCGAAAAGTGCTCATGGCTCTGGAACCTGCATCTCCACAAACCAAGGCTCAAACGGACATGGCAACAAGAAGCCATGTCAGTATGCTGCAACATCGCCACCTCGAAAGCAGAAATGATGTATGGTTGAAGAAGTTGTCGGCTTCGGTTTCAGGGCTCGGCACTGCCAGGAAGGGTCAATATGTTCTCGCACACACGAGAAGCATGTTAAACAGCAGCAGAAGCAGCGGCAAGTGCAACAGCAGGCGAGCCTGGATCTCCAAAACTCCTATGACAATCGACTCGGCACCCACCCGGCCTCGCGATTCCAAGAGACACCACGGCTGTCAGCACGAGCAGGACCCTGCGTGAGAAAGGTTCCCGGTAGCATCAGAAAGCAACACCAGAAACACAAAGGCAGTGAACTGGAGGAAACAAAACAGTGCATGAGAGCAAACTAGAAGGACCTCGCCGGCAGATGCTGGCAGGCATGATATGAGCACTGCCCCTGGCCTTGGCCAAGTATTACCATCAAAGGCGGCAAAGGGGTTCAGCCGCGCCGCCACCCCGGCATCCTGACAGCTGAGAATTCAGAGAACAAACTGCGAAGGGACTGTGGAATCGAAGGCACTTCCAAAACCCAGATCTGTTTCAAGGCACAGCTTGAGAGCTTCACCCTGCAATGAGCAGCACAGGGCAGTGCTAAACAGGGCCTAATTTTCTGTACTTATCCAGGGGTTCTGCAGGTTCTCGCCGAAACTTTTGGAAAGACTACACCTGCTAAACCCAAACCCATCTAGTTCTTCTTTCGCAAGGCTTGCACCTCTTCCAGCGCGAAGAGCGGGTATGTTGACCTGGCATTCTCGTAGAATGCAGGTACCTGAGGCTGGCAGAATGGCTCGGCGTGTACTGCCGAGACGACGGAGGACTGCTTTCGACTGCGAAAGCATCTCGTCCGGAATACGGGTGCCTCTCACTTCTCCAAAATAAGCTTTCCCGAAACATCTTCTCAGTCCAAGCCCATCGAGCTGGCTCTCTGCCTTAAGCTGTTTGTTGGGCTCGGGGGTTTCGATTCCTGAACCCCTCAGAAGGATTCGGTCCATGCGGCAAGCCACAGCTTCTCCCAAACATCAAGCACCACCTCGGAAACACCAGGAATCCAGCTTTACGGAGAACAAGGGTGGCAGCTGGGCTACACCTACTGTACATTCAAGACAAGAACTCCATGCCAGGTCGCAGCTAAGCTCCCTCCTTCGCAGAAGCGTGCAGAAGTCCGTCTTCCACAAACTCCAAGCAACTACACACACACACACAAGCCGCCACTTCAATCTTTGTGGCTGTTGTATAGTCGGGTCATGGCTTTGGCGAACAGACGCTGTCCACAAGACGGCGGAAGCCAAAGCAACCTACTTACGAGATTGGGTCGCATCCAGAGGAAAGTATTTCTGTGCACGAACACATCCTAGCAGGAAGTCACAATCCCAAGCAATGGTTAGATAGCATCATACCAGTATGTATGTATTTCGAGGATTGTATAACATATGGTTTGGCATGGCATTTTCTTCAGAACTACTAGGTGCCACTATATGTCGCTATAAGAACTATCCTGCTTTTGTCCGTATATGTTACTTCATGACATTCGGTTCGACGCTCACAGCAGGGACATTACATGTTACCCTACCTCATGTTGGCTATGAAAGGTGCCCTGGTAAGGGACGCCTTATAGGAAGCGAGTATTTTGTTGAAGCAATGGACTTAGGAACGCTGGTAGAGTAACGGTACTGTTGGAACCCTGGCGACGGCACCTCATTACTAGCACTATTACCACTATTGGTGTTATGAGCATTCTTGATATTATTGTGGATATGACCATGGTGATTTACTACGGCTATGATTATTGCTATCACTGTCATGAGTCTAGGAACCCTCCTTTTAAGAACACGACTTTAGGAGATTACCTCCAAGCCACCACTGCGCTCAGCGCTCTCCTCGACCAGGTCAGGGAGCAAGGATCCAGTCTCCCGAGGCCTCAACGATGTAGAATAATATGTTACAGTACTATAAAGTGATATACTGGGCGAGGAGTTTTGGGTTAGGAGCTCCTTGCATTGAGGATCGTGAACTATCACTACAGTCTACAGTGTCTCCCTCGTCGCGTGTTCGTTTTCAGACCGCGCAGAGCGGACGGAGATCCACGTGGCGCTGCCGACTTCAGGCATCAGGCTTCGAGTCAAACACTCGCCCTATACCTCGCGGCTACGCCCAGGCCCCTACCAAAGAGGTGCAAACGCACCGAGAAGCCTCCTTAGGAGGACTTTCTGATGACAAACGTGACAAACAAGGCACAGAGTTGTTGCATCTGAGGACTGCGCAAGCACGAAAATACCACAGTAAACTGGAGCATGCTCGGAGCTTGAATGTGCCATGGCCTATTCAGCATAGAGCCCCAATGCTTCTAACAGTAGTACCCTACGCTTAACTTTAATACACTAGACTCACTAGACTACGAGTGCCACGAATCTCCAAGAGAAACTCCGCAGCTCTCGAAGATGGGAGCGAGCTACGATACGGCGAGCTAGCAGCAAACCTGTTTGAGGGTGTCGAGGTCCATTCTGGGGCAAAGATCTTGCGGTATTTGGATTTGGGTCCGTCCCCCAATCATGCTTTGGCCCCTGCGGGGCCGAGGGGTGTGTTGAGCATGCATCGCGTCCTCTGTCCGGACGCTGTTTAACAGAGCCCGGCTGCCTGTGATGAAGAAGGACCTTCGCGGCCTCCGTACTTTGTGTTGCGACACAATGACTCCGGAATCTAGTAAGCAAGTGTGCAGCTGCAGGATCGCAGACTGTGGAAGTCTGCAACTACTCAGATGCACCCACCCAGTCTCCACTGCCGACGACAAAAGTGCAGCCCTATCATGCCTTATCAGTCCCACTTCTTACGAACATGCCGAAACCCCAACTACTGAAGCGGAGCCTTCGGGGGCTCAAGCGCTACAACCAAACGTGCAAGAAGAGCCATGAGCTCAGAGCAAATGCGGTGCCACCACGGTACCGTCTGCTTCCATTCACTGCAACCTGACCTGGTCTTTGGGCTTGCGAGGGGCTTGCAGTGGAGCTCTCTTGAAAGATTTGCGCTTGCCCGGAGCCGCAATACCCAACACCAGGGGGATCCTTCGGAACATCTCCCCACGTCATGCAGAAGATGCAGAGCCGCGAGTTGACGGAATGGACCACGTCGCTGCCGGAGTGTGGAGGTAAAGCTGCCAAAGCGTGACACCTTGGGGAGCTGTGGCTGCACAACTGATCGTCTCACCCCTGCCAACATTCTCCGCCAGGCGCTTCACGTCCGTGGTGGTGGAACGCTTTGCTCGGGTATATGCCTCCTGCTCCTCTGTCGAGCGCGTCTCTGAGGTACCGCTTGTGATGCAATTCGTGGTCTTCTCACCAAGCGTGACAGGGTCACACTCTTCCTCTTTAATCCCAAACAAACCGAGAATGGGACCAGCAGCTGCCGAAATTCCTTGAACAACTGTTGAAGCCACAGGGAAAGCTTCGACAACCCCGGCGGCAACGTCCCCTACAGCCGAAATGCCTTCGCGAAGAGCTTGACCGAAGCCTGCCCCCGCTTCCTGGCCACAGTCCTCCCGCACGACCTGCTCCAGCCTCTCCAAGCAGTCTTTGGCCTCCCGGTGCACCGTCGTCGATAGGACGAAACTTAGCGACTTTTCCGTCGCTTCCTCCACGCCCTGAGCGACACCTCCTCCCCAGATTCCGTCCTTATTGAGGCTTCGTACGTGTACTGAATGGTGGCGCTGGCGCCTTGGAGAGTATTCAGCTGTGCAGCCAGATGCCATGAAGCCAGGCTGCTCATGAAAAAAGTAGCCGGATTAGGTACACATTGTCCCGGAAGAGCACTTGTGTCACAGGAGGTTGCGGCTACAGTGGCCCCCCCGACGGAAGCCGCTCGTCCGCGACAGTCCGCATGCATGGTACAGCCAGTGGTGCTGGTGAAGGTCTGGGTCGTGAACATCTGGGTCGTGCTAGTGAGGGTGGTGGTGTAGTTTGTGCAGCACTGCTACCCGCAGGTCATATTCGGATCGTGAACAGCAGTACCGTTGGGACAGGACTGATGATGCATGCAGGTGCGATCACAGCATCCCTGCACAAGAGCAGGTGTCTTCCACGCATGAAACACGACGACGACGGTGAACCTTCAACTGGCCCATGTTCTCGCAAGCTGCGGCGTAACAGGTGTGCAACTCACAACAATCGGATGTAGCGCACTGCCGCCGTCGGCAGGAGCTGGACCGGTCGCGACGGGTGAAGTAGCCTTCACCCAAGGCTGCCATGCACTTGTCATCTCCGAAATCTTCGCAGAAATAGTCTTTAGGCACCTCTCTCCATCGATGATCCGTGTTCCCGGGTCGCGTCTCACAGGGCCAGTCGCCTAGATGAGCTCCCTCTACGTTGGGAGGGTCCCCTTGAATATCCAAGCACTGGTTGGTTCTGGTGCTCAACAAAGAATAATAGCTCGTCCAATTCCGATCATGATGGTCGTAAAGAAACGGGTCCCGGCATGTTTCGACGTAGGCCCAACCACCACCGCCTGACTGCATGGCCAAACATTTGCCAGTCGCCAGATTCCAGAGCTGTGTCTCATCCTTCCACTCCCAAAGCTGGGAGTCACCCGCTAGCATCGCAGCATTTAGCAATGACCTCGTTGGCGCGCCTCCTGGATTCCAAGCTCACGCCAACGCACCAGGGACTGATTTGATTCTGCAGTTGAAACCGGCAGCTTGCGATGATGGCGAGGTACAGAGGCGGAAGAAGCTGTCGCAATGCCATGGCAAGTCTTGGCCTGGGCCCTCCTTCTGACCACCCTCAAGAATAGACACCTACACTTGTAGTCCCCTTGCACTTTGGTTCCGGATGGAATGATCTCTTGCATTGAAAGCATTGCGCCTTGAGTACTACTACGGAAAAGCATGTGTATACACGAACATAAACGGAGATCGGACTCGGTTAGCTTAGAAGCAAAAGACAATTCACTCGATTTAAACTGCGCATGATTCAGGCTCATTGCGTAGAATTGGTGCCGAACTTGTTGAGATGTACGCAATCCACAGGGACGAATCGGTTCGTGCATGAAGAGTTGGCCCCACTGTGATGCCGGCATTACTTGTAGAAGGGGCCTGGGGTTCTCAAGACAAAGTCCCTCTCGCCTCCTTTTTGTCGTTCATGGCCCCAAGAACCCTAGAATCGCAAATGTTCTGTTCTCGGGACTCCATCGGACTGCGCCTTTCGGAACTATTTCGGAACACATCTCGAAAACGGCTTCCGAATTGTTGCGGCTTTAGAAATGGCTCCGAGCCATTCGAGCACTGTTGTTTCCTGTTGGCGAACACATTGCCAAGAACGGCTTGCGGGCCACGTAAAGGTTTGCACAGCCAAACTGGTGGAGTGCATGGAGTCTTGGCCACTGCCAGTGGCTTTGTATAGATAGATAGACAGAAAAATGCCTATCTACCGATGGCCATCTACCTATCTACCTAGCTATCAGATAACAGATACTATTGTACTGTCAGGTAAGTTTAAGTGACTATGCTGTCCTTTGCGTTGTTCTGGGGCCATCCGTGATTGGGTGCACTGGCAAGTGTCGTGTGGATTAGGGCACATTATATACCTCGTGTGTGCTGTCTCAGCAAAGGATCGCAGGCAGCCAGCAGCAAACGCGGACCAGCCCACTTGCACCTTGTGGCCCGTCCTGACGAGAAAGGCGTGCGGACGAGAAAGGCAACAGTGTGCTGGAAGAGGAAGCAGCGTGATAGAATGATGGCTACGTATATGCTACGAAGAAAAACCGAGAAGAGTAGGAACAACAAACATCATGTGTACCATACATGACTGCTTCAACTAGCACATGTACATATTCTTGGCAACTACGCAGACTCATTCATAGTCTCAATGAAGAGGTCCCGATATCAGCCGCCTTCGGATGAAACATCGAAACCTTTGATGCAGTCGCTCTGAAGTTTTGCTACCTACCAACAACACCTGAGCCGCCGGAGAATCGCACGACTTTTCGAACTGTGGGCAGGAGTGACCGTCCTATGTTGAAGCGGCCCGCTCCTTCAACAATCTAACACATCCAAACCGAAGGTTTCGGAAAACCACGAAGCAACTGTCCGTGGCTCGTCCGAGGGCTCCAGTCTTTCATCCTCGGGGCGTCGGAGCCCACGGCGCCGAGCCATCAAGCTGCCGACGACGCAAGCATGGACTCACAAGCATTCACTTGGCATCTTGAGTTAAGGGCTTAAAGTGCGTAGAGCTTAGACACAGTTGGCAAGGCAGGTTCAAGCGAGAAAATTGCAATCATGTTGTCACAATACCGGCCCTGAGGTTGCGGGGACGCGTCGAAAGGCTGCGACTAGAGGGACCCTGGCGCTTGCTAGGAACGCTCTCAGCAATTAACGACAGATACAGCCAAGATGGCTGCCACGCTCAGTGGACAAGCCGGCGGGCAGCGAAAGCTCTGAGGGAAGAGATGTGGCAGCCACAAGTGAAACAGAGACGATAGTCTGCACGAATACACGCAACCTGCCGCTCCAATCCCATGTAAGCATCATCCACTGGAGTGGCATACCATCTAGCTGTTGCTGCTTTTCCGGCGAAGCGGACACGTGTCTTGGCAGATGCGCAGCTGGAAGTTGACGGTGCTATCCTTGCTATTGCCTCTTACTTCTAGGTCCTACAGGTACTGCTTTCATTGGGTAATCATTATTTTAATCTTTTTGGTAAGGTGAACTATTTGTCTCAAAGGACTATCTTCTTTACGTCTGCTACTTCCGGGCCTGGATCTGCAGCTTCGCAGAAAAATTATGAGACGGGGCCATTTTAAGATCCCCAAGCCTCATCGCATGGCCGAGCCTGCAAGCACTGTACAGAACACCACCCGCGTGGGCGAAGCAGCGAGTTGCATACGGCTTGAACAAATATGGAAGCCTGAATGGTACATTCTAGTAAAACCATAACAAACCCTAGAATAATATTGGTAATTCTTTAGGCATCCAGTAGACAAAGTGGTGAAGAGCGATACTCAGCCGAGAGATATCCGACATAGTCCGAGCGATTTTCCAGAGACGGCGGGAAGAGAACCGCTTAGTGCCTGTAAACCAGTCGCATGCAATAACGTTCTTGAGCACCTCCTTACTTACGTCAAGACTGACGACAATCCTGCAAGCCTGCTTCCGTCAGCAACGTGCAGATTCGGCTCACCCCGTCCGCACAAGGAAGCCCCACATCAGCTCCGAGGCACGGAGGGCGCGTGGAATCGGAGCCCCTGCCTTGAGCATCATCCCTTGGGCTGCCCTTGCGGATGGATGGCGGGTGGATGGAAGCTTCCTCAAGTTACTTGCACAGATTCGGCTTCTGCTGGCATCTTTGGCACTCCATCACCTCCTGCGATTCACTGCATGAGTTGTCAGGAAGTGCCCGGGCCTAAGCACCTAAAACGATCGGCGCCACGGCTCAAGTCACAGCGTGGGTCGGAGAAAGCAGGGGAAACTCCTGGGTCACCTACTATCGGTTGTCAGATCTACCTGGAACCGACAAACGAACAGATCACAAACTCTACTGCCCGCTCACTCTGACCAAATGAGCTCGCTTAGGCGAGCTTGACTTTCACCGGGCACTTGGTGCCGCCAGCTCAGCCAAGGCAGAAGCCACCTCAGTTGTTCCAGCTATCCCCAAACCCTGAACGTGCTTATTGATTCAACCCTAGCCCTAGACCCTATATTATATTGTATTATATTATATTATATTATACTTTATTATACTATACTATACTATACTATACTACACTATACTATACTATACTATATTATATTATATTACATTATATTATCTTATCTTATAGTATAATATATTATATTTCTTATAGTATAGTATATTGTATTATATTATATGATCTGGTCACTTTGGTTGCCGTGCCACAGCCGTTCTTGCTCGCGGTGTGCACGTCCGCCCACTCCACGTTCATGTCGTCAAGGGTGGCATCCTCCCAAGCTGTGCCCCAATTTGTTGTTGCATCAATTGGGATGCTGACCTGTGAACTAAGGCAGACACATACTCTGCGGCACCAACTGCGGCAGTCGCAGGAGACCTTGTTGGGATGCGTCGAAGTCAGGGAGGCTGCTGCAAGGCGTGCAAACAATCTCACTGAGCCTTCTCGCAACGTTGCAAGTTGGGTCTTCCACATACACTGTATCCCGTGGCATACGTCTTCTGCAACGCTGAAGACAGAGCAGGCAAATTGCTTGAGGATAGAAAACGAAGCGGGGTATAACTACTGTTTGATTTGGTTCATAATTCGACCGAGCCTCCCAAGTAGGAGCTGCTGCGAAATTACAGTTGCAGCGAAGGTCTGAGGCTGTTGAACCTGTGATGACTGCCAAGCCACCAAGAGGGTGAGTCTCATCTGGAAACTTCAAGATACTAGCAGATCCGGCCGAAAGACAAACCGCAGATGCTCAGAAGTCGACTTGATGGTCGGGCTTGGCGCGGCAAATGCCTGAGAGTATGCCGGACGCGGACGAAACCTCGTTACATTTCTTAAGCGGGAGTACAGAGTTTCTGAAGCGAACAACTCGAGCTCATCAGATGCTCCCAGCCGAAGATGCATAGATCTGGTCAGGACCAAGGCAAGATTGGTACACCTGCAAACCGTTCCCCATCCTGGCTCTGTAAAGCCCTAAACCCTAAACCCTAAACCCTAAGCCCTAAGCCCTATAACCCCTAAACCCTAAACCCTAAACCCTAAAACGTGGCGCCTGCTGAGAGCAAGGAACCCGCAGCA